CGTACTCTACTCTACTCTCTCTCTCTCTCTCTCTCTCTCTCTCTCTCTCTCTCTCTCTCTCTCTCTCTCTCTCTCTCTCTCTCTCTCTCTCTCTCTCTCTCTCTCTCTTTACTAAATTAATTATTGAAAAGTTTTGGGGAATGTTGACGCTGCCGCGATAACGTTTGCCTCTCTCGTATATGAAATTATAACGCTTAATTAAGCACAGATATGGATGTGTAATTGAAACGAAAAACGGCAGATAGCTTTAAAAATGAATTTGAACTTCTTTCTCTGTCATGCGGCAGCGTTTTGATAGAAGATTGCATATTAATTTATATTTTTATTAATAATACATTGGAAAAAAATGATGTTAAAGTATATAAAAATTTAATCAGATTTTAACAGATTTTGTGGGATCATCAATGTACGCATCAATGTATTTACGCATAATGATTATACTGCAAAAATACTTAATATTCTAAAAACAATCAATTTAAATATAATATAATATAATACTTTTAAATATAATACTTTTTATACAACTATTTTTATGATCTAATAAAATTATTTTCAGATTTACATCTGATCAAGTTTTTAAATATACTTCAGCAAATTTTTTTTATATAAATATGTACAGACACATTTATTATCTTGAAAAAAAATTATTAAATACTAGAAATACTAGAATACTAATTTATTTTATAATAAATCTTATTATTCAATTTTTTCAATTTATTGCGATTTCTTTAATTTATTATATTACATTTAATTTATTATATTAGTTGTTTAACAACCCTGGAAAATGATCTGAATATATATGAGAATTTAGGTTTTTATGATTAGATTATTTTGATTAAAATTAGACTGGCAGTCAGTGATTAACCATTTATAGAGCGAGCGAAAATCACAACAAAAAATGCTCAACTGCGAACGAACGCAGGTGGCAGAAACATAGAACACAGAACTCTAATAATTAATCTGGGTATAATTAATCGCTCCGCTGCTTTTGATTGCGCAGGTTGTGACGCCGCAAAAGTGTGGGGATGTCTACCTGTACGATCTCCCAGCAAGTCGCGGAAGTCCCGCGCCACCCTCCAGACACGATTCACCCCTCAACTCGACGAACAATGAACATTCGCACAATACGGGTACGTATTATTCGCAAACTAAACATTCCGCCTAAAACCGAATGGCGGCCGTGATAAAGCCGTTTGCTAAAGCTTATTCAGCAGCTGAGATGTTGATTAACCTCGCGTTTATCGCACTGATAATTTTTAAAATAATAGCCATTTTAATTTAATTTAATTTTTAAATAAATATCCAGAATATAAATTTACAGAATATACGGATATAAATTTTAATTTACAAATTTTTAGCAATTTTAAATATTAATCATTTCACGTTACATCATACCCTATTCCGTTTTGATCATCAAAAGTGAATTAAATTTTTTATTTCAGCTTGTAAAAGACACTTTTTTGCAAAATATAATAGTTTTAAAAAGAAACGTACGAAAGAAAGATATAGAATTGTAAATAAAATATAAGATTTATAAAAATATAAAAAATATAAGTACACATTTTAGAATAAAAATAATATAATATTTATTAGATAAAGATATATAGTAGGTAATATATACGTGGAATTCTAGAGAAGACTTTTAGAAACTCCACGTGGTGAAATATTTCGCATTAGTTACGCTCAGAAGAAGTCAACTCGCGCGGTCGAGCTCAGTTGTTGATCTTGGGGATTTCTTGCTAAGAGGTAGCTCTCGCCTGTTTAGGACGATACACGAGCAACAACGTGCGGAGCTCCGTCGACAACGGGGGCGGCGATGTGAACGAGTGTTATGACGTACCGCCACGCGCGATCCCGGTGATCCCGTCGCCGGCGAGCAGCCCGAGCCCAGCCCCGTCGTGCTACGATATCCCAAGGCCGCCGACATCCTGCACGCCCAACTCAAATTGCTCTGGCGGCTCCGGTATTACGCCGCTAGATTGCTACGACGTGCCGCGACCCTTGCAGCCCCTCACACCCAGCAGCTCGGCCTCCAGCCTCACCAACGACGGCTCCCTCAGCGGATCGAACAGGTATGGAGGATTCCCTCGCATTTTCATTACGCGTTGCGTTATTCGGCCCCGGAGAGTTTCCCGGATGTGTACGCTGCGACAACGGCGTTATATCACGAGATCAGAGATCCGAGAATCTCAAAATTGTACGCGTCCGAGCGAAGCGAGAAGTTTCACGTGAGATATATATATAAATCAGAAGCTGAATAGAATTTCAAGAATACCGAAAGGGATGATTTAAAGGGCATTCGCGAGAGATGCGTTCGAAGTGGGTTCCAGATGATCCAGGGGATTCCGAGACTGCGATCCCTCTTCCCGTTTGTTGCCAAATTTTGGCAGCGTTATCAGCAAATAAATTTCCAGAGTTTCCGATTTCAAGTTTTGTTTCGCGTTTTTACTTGTCGCGTAAGACAACGATTTCTTTCATTCCAGATCGAGTTTGGCCGCTCCGGATTACGATGTACCCCGACCGCGTCTTCCACCGTCCTCGTTGCCGTCCCGACACAACACCCCCGTACCGAAAACCCCGACACCGCCGCCACCCTCGCAACAGATTTATGATGTACCAGTCAGCAAGGAACTTCCACTGGAACTGGATTCCGCCCTGGAAGGTTTGCAAAGGTTGCAAAACGAGGCGTCCGTCGCGATAGCGAGGTTACTGGGCTTCGTGAGCCCCGGTTGGAGAACACCGCAACGACTGGACGCCATCCTTATGGACCTGAGGCTGGCCGCTCTCAGGCTCAGATCGTCTCTTCACGATCTAGCTGAATTTGCAGAAGGTGAAAAAAACACAGCTTGATCTAATAATACTCGACCCTCTCTCTTTATAAACAAACTTCACACACAACTTCATATCACAATATAGAAGTTATCTTTCTTGTCTTCATAAAATTAAATATAATCGTTTCCTATTAACGTTCAAATTATCAAAAAAATTTTACAATAAAAATATATGACGATAATAATATTCGTGTTCATTTTTATTCTACGTGAAGGTACATTGGGCAATGCGAGCAAAGCACCGGATAAGGGCTTAGCAACAAAATTACGGCCACTCGTGAAGGCACTTCGTGATTCCGACAAGCTCGTACAGGAAGCCGCCACCGAATTGGACACTATGGAATGGGACGCAAGTAAGCTCTGTCGTGGCGGTGGTGATACACCGACACCTACTAACGGACCCCCGTCTTCGCTTCTACCATCTGGACAGTCAGATCCCCTTGATCAGCTGATCGCGTGTGCTCGAGCACTCACGGAAGACGTTCGTCAGGTTGCTAGTTTCATTCAGGTAAGTATCTTTTGCAGTCGTAAGATTGAATATACTTGTCACGAATAATGACCTCCGATTTTAAAACGTTGCAATGAATTCGTCGAGTCGAGTAACAATGTTAGTGAGAAAAAGAGTGAATTAATAGGTCAAAATGATGAATTAACATAAGTATAATAATCGACCTTTAAGTCTCTTTTCTTTTCTTTCTATCCATTTTTTAATCGATATAATATAATATTTTGCTGTGTGATTATATTCCGAGTGTAAAAAATAAAAATAAATTTTTTTAAATTTAAGTAAGAAATTAATTTCTTTTTAGTTTCCTAATTCCTTTATAAAAATTAAAATTGACACGAAGAAATGTAGAAGAAAAGAAAACAGAAACAACATTTAGCATTTAGCATGTAAATCTAATTCTTGATCTCGAAAGCTAGAAATCAAAAAGCTTTAGAATTAATTATAAATTATTTTTAATTGTTTTAAAAATAAACTTTTATTTCTTTTTTGGAATATTGCCTCACGCAGCTGATGATGTTTAATGGAATGTCTCCGTTGCTGATAACGAGGCTCCTTATGCGCAGGGAAATTCCACGTTGCTTTTCAAGCGATCGTCGATCATCTCTACGGGCAGCAGCAACAATAGCGGTGCCGGGGAGGATTACGACTACGTGAATCTTGATTCGCGAGAGGTCGTAGCGAAGCAGCGAGAGGAACTGCGAACCTCGCTACCGCAGGAGCTGCGCAGCAATTACGATCTGCTGGTGTCCGAGGCGGACAATGCCGCGATTCAGATGCCACCCACGACACCGACGCCCATGGATCCCAACGACAAGCAATTGTTAGCCTTCTACGTTGCCCAGGTCATCACGCACGGCGCACACCTGACTCACGCCATCGACGCCTTTTTGCAGACGGTGGAACATAATCAACCACCCAAGGCGAGTTTAGCTGCAGCAGTTCTCGTATATTAATATCATCTGGCGTGTTTCTTCGCGTGACATACGTAGATATCGAGACGCTGATTATTCGCTAAGTTTCCTTTCCTCCTCGAAAGCTTATAGCTCCTCGGAGGCTTCGAAGGCTATTATTTGTTAAATAATACTAAAAATTATATATAAGTTAATGCAGTGAAGCGCTTATTAATTGATGAAATTGAAAAACGACTATTAATTATTATTGTTACCTTCAACAACAAAAGTTAAAATTAAATCTATTGCAATCGTTTCAGAAACTCGGTAAAAATTTAATTATTTTTTGTTCTTTACGGAAACTTAATAAGTATATTATGATAAAAAGCACGCTTGCTTTTATCGAGTTCTGCGCTTCTTTATATTACAAAATGCCTTAAGTGCATGTGCATATGGGTCAACTGTCTCGATAAATGATGATAGGACCGTAGATATCGGCGATACTATGGTGTGACAGGGTGCCTTAAGTTAACGCATGTCAACTACATGTTTCCATTACTTTTTCATGATGACCTCTTTCCTTCGCAAGTGCATTGCACGCAACCGGCATCGCGATTGAAGATAAGTAGTTAGTAGAGTACATAGTACATAGAGTACATAGTAAAATCAGAAATGAAAACGATAGAATAAGAAATTAAAAAAATAATATTCAAAACTAAAACATAGACAAAGATGTGATAAATAGAATAATATAAAATAATTATTTTAGGTATGTATAAAAATGTATAAAACCGAAAAGAAAATATTTAATATTTAAAATTTATATAATTAAAAATTTAATATTATTAATCGTTCATTCCTTTATGTGTATTACACTTGTAATTTCTATGAATCTTTTGTATCGATACTCGTAACAAAAATTTAAGAAAGAGATGTCTATTTATTATATGATTCAAATAATTATTTACATAAATCGTTCATTCTTTAGTTCCTATTCTTTTTTTTTTTTTATTCGATGAATTGCAAACCAGAGAGTAATTTGAATCATGTTATGGAATTTTACAGGTTTTCCTAGCTCACGGCAAATTCGTCGTGCTGAGTGCGCACCGGCTGGTGCACATCGGCGACACGGTGCATCGAAACGTGACGCGAAATGACGTGCGAACGCGCGTGCTGCAATGTGCGAATGCTTTGAATGAGGCGCTCGCGCAGACGGTGCAGAAGACGAAGCAGGCCGCCCAATTCTTCCCGAGCGTCACCGCGGTCCAGGAGATGGTCGACAGCGTCGTCGACGTTTCGCATTTGGCTAAAGATCTCAAGGTCGCTATGATACACGCCGCTCAGCAACCCTAATTTTTACGACGATTCGAAACGCGAAACCACAAGTTCCTTAAATCGAAATACAGTTCTCGATAGAGATTTTTCCTCGTTACGGAGAAATTTCGAGACTGCAGAAGAGTCAAACGTAATGCGTTTTAGGATGGCCATGATTCAAAGATAACGGTCGAAAGATCAAATCTGTTTTCCACTTTTTTTTTTTTTTTTTCTTTGGTTCAAAGTTTGGAACGAACGTCGCTATCTTCAACGCCTAAAATAAAATAGGAATATTCTTTCTTATATAAAAGTGGATCAAAAGTATCTCAGGAATTTCTCATGGATATGGTCCTTCAAACGTTGTCTAAATGATATGAATCATCGATGGCTGCCGTTATTTTGAGATTCAGCCGCTTATGGAACGGAAATATAATAGTATTAAAAACACCAGCTATTTTTTCGGAAGAAAATGAGCATTGGTGCAAAAGAATTTCGCTTAAAATCCCAACAGCATGTTCAACATTGAATGGCGAGATAATCAAACATGATCTATGTACGCTTTACAAAGGTGAAAAAAAGTCCGACTATCCGCACGATTTAGTGCGTCCCGTGCAGCTATAATCCCTTCTCATTATAAAGAAAATCCGTGGCCTAAAATAGGAACCTGCTACTGCCAAAGCTCCGGTATATAAATAACGTAAGAAACAAAGCAAACCACAATCCTGTACGAGTGTCTTTGTAACGTACTCGAGAATATAAGCATTGTAATCTTTCATAGGAAGTATATGTAGTTGTTCAATTAGATATGTTCAGGTAGAAAATGTGAAATTGAATATAACGAGGTCAACAGCTTTTTCTGGCATAAGCAAATATTTCCGAAATGGCTTTTCTGAAATTGCGACCTGGTAGACACCCGGTTGTTTTGCCATGTCGTAAAACTCATTTCGGATACATCCACGACATATACAACTAAACGTGTTAGTAGTTTATAGATGTATGTATACAGTAGAACATACACATACGACTACAACATGTATTCATATCTGCCTTTTTAAAATCATCAGTTTCACCATCAGTTAACTGTGATTTTAATTTTATTAATTCTACGTTTTTTAAAGGAATTAAAATTAAAAACAAGAGCTATTTAAATTATTATTACAGTTAATTGATATTACTGAAATCGGTGATTAGTAATTTTAGCGACGAGTTTGAAGTGTTTTCCCGTAGTGAAGAATCGCTCTTGCTTTTATTTGACCAAAAGACCGATATGAATACTAGTGTCAAAATTGAGAAACCACCGCGTTTCTATTGTTTTTGTATTGTATGACGAAAAAATTGACACCAAAAAGATTCAATGTAAGCTCCTTTGTGAGCTCCTTTTTGGAAATACTCTAGAAAGGTGGATTATTAATTGTTACGAATGGTTTTTTTGGAAGACAATTTTAAATGGATTTTATACGAAGCTTTTACCGCCGGGTTACGACTTTTTCAAGCGCCCAGGCCTTTTTATCAGGCTCTTCCATAACAATAAATTAATCACAAGCGCACACTGTGAATCGCAATAAGCGGCGGATCGAATTTGTAAACTATTAATGCGTAAAATTTTCCACGGCAGCTACATGTATTCGTGAATCTTTTCGCATAACGAGACCAATAACGCCTCTCTTTATAGAGCAAATGAATGTTTTTATTAGATCTAACAGATATCCTGTGGTAGACTGACAACATAAATAATTAAAGAATATCGCAAAGACATTCAGAATTTTCATTTTATTTCTTGAATTATCTTTTACATTGTTATAGTATTCAGCTATATTAATCATGGAATTTATTTGTAATTATATTGAACCAACAATACTAAATCATCTTTTTTAGTATTAAATGTGATATAAATATAATATATAATATAAATATGTAATAAATTTAAAAACACATTGTTAAACCGAAGAATATCTTTGCGATAAAATTCAAGATTATAGCTAGAGTATCTTCGAAGCCTATAGAGGCCAAAAACGTGTATACGATCCAATCGCTAATTTGCGGCGCACACTTATTCTAATGGGATTCTCCACGTGCGAAAGTGTACTTAAAAATAGCTCGCCGACTATAGCATTCGCTCAGCGCATGCGGAACCATCCAAGTTTATAACTATTAAAATTTTGCCACGCCTCGAAACAACGGAGATGTAATCGTGATTGTGAATACGATTCACACATTTTACTAGCGTGTCTTAAGATGCAACCGGCTGTCTTAATGCAGTTTTAATAAGCATTTATTAGAACTTCCTTTATTCCACGAGATTTTATCTTTCTTTTTTTCATTTTATTTAATTAATTATTATCGTGTGATTATGAATTATTATCGTGTGTAACAGAAATGAGGCAATTGCTTTTGAAAGCAATTTGCAACGTTTATCTTATATTTTATTTTCGTAAAGACAATACACCCAGGCATATCGCGCGTAAGAAACATTTATACACGAACCTCGTTTACGAGACCTGTATTATAATTTATTAGCGAAGTGTTTTTGTAATATAATACATATAACAGGCAGTTATACATATATATAGATAGATAGATAGATAAATATAAATATATATCTATCTATAGATATATAGATAAATAGATAGGATATAGAATTGTATATTTAGAACTTTATATGATAGTCGAATCGATAGGTGCTTATCATCCACGTTAAATCACTGTATTTAGATATATCGTGTTGTAGTATTAAGTGGAATGATTTCTCTTTTTTGCAAAACGTAGGCCGACGAATGTCATTACTGACGTTATCTGTGCGAATACCAGCACATCATTTTCTTGATTTTCCTTTTGTACATTGTACCTGGATCATCTTTTTGCAATAATCGTGTACCATCCTCGCAATCATGTAAACGTATACGTACACGATGATGGTATTACTAGAAACTTACGAGCTACATATCCAAGAGCAGCTATTCCAAGATTAGATGACAAAAAGATTAGAAAAGGAAGCTGTTGGATGTAGCACGCGTGATGTCCTTAAAGGAATGTTAATCACACATCGAAAGCTCGTTTATCATAATAAATATTTTAATCATGTTTTCGGTATAGCCGTGCGAGAACAATTCCTGCGTTTTATCATTGAAGACTTCCTTTGTACTGTTTGCAAGTCGAGATACGTTACAAACTAATAATTATGTTAACCTTAAGAACACCTTTATTGTAATATAAGACATATATTATATATATTATTATATATATATATATATATATATATATATATATATATACATACATATAATATAATTATTCCTATTACAGAAACGGAGTATGTATACACACGAGCATGATATATCCGAGATACATTAGTGGAGTAAACTTATTTGAATATTGTGCAATGTCAAAAATAATTTTTAAGCCAAAATACATGGAAAGACAAAGTATTTGAAGAAGAAAATATTTATCAAGATGAATATTCATAGACTCGACTTTAAAGTATAAGTAGAAACTATGTAAATTGAGCTCATTTCAGTGCTGTAAAATATTATTTTTTTCTACCATATTCTTTAACGACACGCTTGGCAACGCCCTGAATAATACATTTTACATAATGGCGTGTTACATGTGAATTACAGTTTCAGTCATTCAATAAAGTTACAATGAAAAAAAATAAATCAAGACAGTCCTTTCCAGAATTTTTTATTTCTTACATTGCAATCTAGAAATTTTAATTACATTGTGGTGTTCATAAACTGAAAAATATAACAGTTCCAAAGTTCAATCTTACTCCATTGTGCAAACTTTAACAAGTATTCTCCAGTCGCATATAAAATATTTTTACTCATACACCAGGTCAAACTTTGATAAGTAGAAGTTCTTGCCATGCAAGAAGTAACAAAGTATTCATAATTAGTTCTAATTAGTCCCAGACACGTAGTCTCCAATCGTCATCTCCAATCGTACTCCTTACCGAAAGATATATAATAAGTTTTATTTTCAGATTTACATAATATCTTGAATCGATGATTTAAGAATCAATCCAATTTCGATAGCAGCAATGATGAATGGACTAAGAGTGATCGCCGCAGCATCTGCCTAGGTGCGTATGAACATTGCCCTCTTTGTGCGCTCTATCTCTAAGAGCTTTTTCGTGATGGAAGCTAGTGAGATCTCGTTTCATAGCATAAGCATCCTCGCCGTCCGCATAATATTTTGGCTCTACCTCTGATACTTCAAATTGCAAACTGCTTGTATACAAGTTTAGAGCCGCACGATTACTTCTGCGCACATGCAGAGAAACGTATTTTGCGCCGAAGCACTCCACCATCGCTCGAGAGGCCTGATTCATCAGTTTCTGCGCGATTCCTAATCTTCTGTGAGAACGCTTCACAGCCAAACTGGTAATATGTCCATGGGGATTATCCTCACAATCCTCCTCCATCTTGGCAAGCACATAGCCTACTATTCTTCCTTTCTCATCTTCGGCCACGTAACTCAATTGTGGCCACGAAAGAGCGTGATACAGATAATATTTCATTTGATAATTCTCAGGCAGGCATTGCAAATTGCAATGCTGTATATTCAGCAAGTCATCTGTTGTTGCACAACGTATATTTACAGACATTTTAATCAGATATATTCTGTTATAAGCTCCAACTCCAAGATTTTACTTTATACAACCGTATTTGTACAGACGTTATTAGCAGTAGCTCCAATATATCGGGATCCAGAATTTAATCACGGCGAAGTTTCTTTATGCGTGCACGACCGTTCTTCAAATCGTTGACAGATGAAGATTCACTCATTCCATTCCCAGTTAACTCTCTCACGAAGCGGAATCGTGATAAGAAGAATGTCCAGACTAAGTACCAACCTGGTGGAAAAAAATCATGATGTAAATATTAAAATAATAGAGCAGTAATATATATATAATAATGGCAATAAAACATGCATGATTTTATCGATAATATATTACTATCATATTTAATAAATTTTATAATTAGGTCTAAAAGTTTAAAGTACTTTTACATGATTGAAATATTAATTTCTAATTCAATTTATTGACTTTTATATATATATATGTTTTATATATATATATATATATATATGTTTCTATTTAGTGCTCAAATATGACTTAGCAAATTCTTTATCGCCACTTAAAAGACATAAATGAATAAAGCATGACACAAGAAAGATATGCTTATCACTGATCGTGATACATAGAAAACATAGAACATAAGTTCTATATATACACTGTGCTAAATTTAGAAGATACTAAAATGCAGTTATAGGTGTCCATATACGATTGCATCTATGGTACTAACACGAGATCTGCGTTATAGCACATAAAAACAAGAAACTTGTGCTGTCAAACCCGTATTTTTTCCCCCGATGACATAATTACATCAGGACACCGTAATCAAAGCACCAGCGCCCTGATATGAGTGCTTACCTATCACAACAAGGAGGAACACTATTAAAAGACTGAATACCACGGAGAACGCTGTTAGGAAGATTTCCATCGAGATTTCCATTGGGATCTTCATCCAAGAACAAAAACGTAAAAAAAAAAAGAAAAGAGAGGGAGATGGAAGAAAATGAAGAGAAATGAGAAAGAAAAGATTTCCCTACGTTCTAGGCCGTGCGCGCGAGCAACGATATAGCTTTCACAAAGCAAATTCGTACGAGCGGCACCGCACACGTGCTCGTAAGCTTGACGACAATGACAGCGATGTAATAACAGTGAATGCCGTGACAGTGGTGACGACGGCGACGACGATGACAACGCGCGGGCAAGTCCTCGCCTACCACTCACACTGTGCACGCCATTTTGAAAATCGAAACGGCCAGGTACGCGTACAGGTTATGGTTCTCCCCTCCATCGGCGAATGCCGGTCACACGCGATTCTCGCGACGGCACTTACCGAGGTAGCTCGACGCACCTCAGACCAGTCGTCCCGATCGATGTCACCCCCGCGAGAGTCCGAACTTTTTCCGTCAAAGAACAATCTCGTGGATGGGCAGGAGTACATCTAACCTAAATTACACGCTATACTCGGAGCATTCGAAGCAACGTTAAGATGCTATCACATGACGAACATTGAGCATCAAGCGTCTGCGCATTGCGCTTAATTTAGTAATGAATGAATTTAGTAATGAATAATAAGGAGAAATAATACATCATATGTATTATGCGAGAAATGGAATGCACCCCGCATTGCTTTAAATTTAGATTTCAGCTTTTTACTGCTAAAAATAGTAAATAATATAATCTCAATTAGAATAAGGGAAGTCATATTTTGATATAATTACAAATAATATTAAAAATTTATTTATTTATTCACATTGTATAATGTAAACTACAAAAGATAATTAATATCTTGCTATTTTTCTTCATTGTTAGCTAATTAAGTCAATGGTAATTATTTATAATATCCCTGTCACCTCCGATTTTGATAAGGGTGACACCCATTTGATCATGGGTGAGGACACATCGGACCAATCAGACACATTGTCGATTAAATAAAAAAATTTTTTAGGTGACTCACTAGAAAATTCCTAGTCATCGGCTGATGTGAGTGATGTGTTGATTGAAAATGTGCGCATGTGGGACGCTCCTTTTTGACCACGTCCCGATTGATCACT